TGAAGGGGTTCCCGAGTGCTACCAGCTGACACTCCCTTGCAATCCAAAGACTAATTGATTAAAGGGCTGTGATCATGTGTGTATGGAGATTTTACTGAGTGAGCATGTGTGCATGGCAAATATACACCATATGGGCAAGGGATTGCACCTCAGTTACTGTGAACAGAGTAACTGTGCACAGCCTCTTTGGCATAAATACTATATGCGTAAATCATCACAGTCAGGCCTGGGATATCGCAGACTCCCAAACAGACATGCCGCAATATTGATGTAATAAGTGTGAGAATCCTGGGATTTTTATTAACCCTTTGGAACACAATTATTTTAAGACAATTACCACAAATACATTACCATCCTATAATATTTGGACACTGTGGATTAGGTTAATGCTATGAAGAACGTCTGTACCAAAGCGAGGATTAGGCGTATTTCGTAGTGCTGTGTTTTATTGTACTGTAGTGAGAACATGCATCAGGGGCTGCTGTTAGATGAATCGACGCTACCAAATTGAACTAATTGCACTGTTGCCTGCCCAATGGACCCCGTCTGGGACCCAGGAGAGCAAAACGTTGAGAGCAGACGAGTACATTACTCAGTCCAACTAATTGCTCGCACCTGTGCCTGCCCAGTTCACTCTGCCGGGGATTCTAGGGGATGATAAAAAGCAAAGCTGAATATACACTATGGGTGGGGCAATGGAATCTGAAGTTTACAGATATCTATCGTAATGTGGATAGGTCAAGGTTTGCAGGACCTAGATGATGTGTTTTTAGTCAGTCTAATGGTGCTGTAGCTATAGTATAGTGTCAGGTTCCACCCAGCAAGATGGGTGTGCTGTGGGTTGTACATTCATAAGTTTATTTATTGCTCACTTTGGCTCTGAAGCTGGCCTATGTAAGCTGCCTTTTTTGTCACCAGCTCAAATACCCAACCTCAAGCACCAAAATTAAAAAGACATGAGGTGATTTCTTTGGTGCAGCAAAAAAAGAAAGCATTGGTTTTGGATTACTAAGTTACGAATCTGTCAGGGCCGCTCGGCGGCCGCTGCCTCTCCTCTGTCTTTCTCTCCTCTGCTCTCTCTATCCTGTGGGCTCTGCACCTCAGCTGTGTTGCATTCCAGTAATTAGCGACTGGTTTTTTGAAGCGCACAGCTGGGGTGCATCCTGATGATTACCTTCTCCTTACTTATACCTCTGGCAGACGCTCCGTCTTCGCCGGAACATTAACTATGTACCGCGTAACATACAGTACATGTGGGTAGAATGCTACGCTGACAGACACTGTGCGTTTTGGCTTGACTCTACCACACTACCTACGCGCTACGCTACTTTACACTGCACTACATATTTCTGATTCGTCGCCGGATCTTTGCGACATGTAATGGACAATACTTACCCTGTTTCCTGCCGTTAGTTTGTGTGTTTACCTGTTCGTCCTGGTCTCCTTAGTCATCACTGCCCTTCCCTGGTTGTAAGTATTATAGACCCTGTTATGTTGTCACTTTGTTGTATTTATTCCAATAAACCACCTTTTTTGTACTAGCACCTGGGTCGGCAAACTTGAGACCAACCTCAGTCCTCCCTCACCCTCCTGGTGAGGGGGACTAAACCATAACAGAATCAGACCATTGCCAATTCAACCCCATCTGCTTTAAGTTTCATAAAGACTGGAGTGCCACATGATGGACATTATATGGAAGTTACAGCACATAAATAAAAGAGCAGCTGAAATGGAAATCCTACTGGAATGGGGGTTTGTAACTTAAGGCTGATCTACCTTTTCCACAAAGGGACAACAATAATTTGAACTTCTTTATAATGGCAGTGCAACTATTAAGATATTGTCATGTTATACTGTGCATCATATTAAGAATTGTACCATTATTTTCAAGCTTGTGGTTCACTTAGTGTTCTTTTCACCTGTCAAATCGTCCTTTCACATTTAAAGTGAAGACGATATTGAGAGGGGAAGCAAAAAGAGGATAGGAGGAGGAAGTGAGAGGAACAAATGAGAAGAAAAGGAGTGTGCTGAGATAGCTGTTTTCTGACCAGAGGCTTCCTGGGCAGAGCAGAGATGATCTCCAAGGCTCACAGCATGAATTCCACACACCCTTCACCACACAAACAGCATGAATTCTGTGCACCACATGCAAGCATCTTGTGGCTCCCACACACCATACACCATGCCTCAGAGAGACACAAACATACAGAGTTAACACATGGACAAAGCATCCCTGCAGGCAAGACCTCAAACCCTGACTGACATGGCATCCACAGTGTTCTCATTATAATCACCAAACAGAATGTCTTCATCCAGAGGCGAAACAAACTCTACACAAAAGTCCTCTTCATCTTTACAACTTTTTTCCATTCAGAGTGATCATTTCTATGATGATGTTGTTCCTTATGGCCTACACAGAATTACAAACTCTGAAAGATAAAACAAGTGCCCAACTGTAATTCAGTAACTCCAAAGCGTAACTCCTAACAGGATATTCATTACCTACTTGACTGTGACTTTTACTGGGCAAAAACAAACTATTACTGCATTTGGCTCCACACTGAAAGTACAGAAAGTGCACAGCATATACATTCTTACACAACTTTCACTATGTGCAAACATTTGCTCAGTTTTATTGTGGGAACTAACTTTTTTTGTTCTCACCTGAAGACTTATATACATCTGCAAGCAAAACACACAACTGGTCATATTTTCCTTTGTACAACTGATCAGGCACTGTCTGATGTTGTTGACACACCACCTTCATTGTTGTCCCACCTTCTGCTTGTACCTTCATAAGGTTAACACATCTCTCAAGAGGTATGATGCACTATGCCCAATGTAAAAGATATATAACACCATATATATATAACACCATCTGTTTGAGTTTGTGTGAGTGCGCATATACATAGACACAAGGGCACAAAGCCATCCCCTTATGGCCCATTGTTTTAGAAGGGTATGACTCTTGCACCCCTCCCCTAGATGTCAAGGGAATAGAGCACAGCCTGGCTAATATTTAACTAATGACTGTGCCTTCCAGACTCCACTGCCCTCCTCTTACCAACTGCCAGACCTGAGCCATCTCTGCAGTGAACGTCACTGAAGTGTGGCTCTGTGAAATAGAATGTGGAGGCTCTGCAAAGTATCAGGGGAGAGGGGTACGAAAGAAAATAACTGTTGGAGAGCCCATAAAGGAGCTGTGAGTGAGGGAGAGATGGATGCACACTGTTGTGTGGGAGGCCAGTGAGTCCAGCAGTCTGAGAGAATGCCATATGCTACCTTGAGGCAGGCAAGGTATAGCAAAAAGCAAAGGAGAAGCAGAGTTAGACAAGAGTGGCTGGTTTCCATCAGCGCTGATATTATATGTGTCTGGCCTTCAAATTTTTCATCAAGAAGCACACGTACCCCCCTCCCCACCAGTCTTCCTCAAAGACAGAGGCTATGCTACTGACAAGGGGAAACGAGAACAGGCTGAAGGAGGCAGCGGAAGGAGCAACAGATAAGGAGAATGGGTGAAAAGGCATAATTAGATAATGAGGTCTGTGTTTGTCAAGAGGGAAAGACAGAGGAGGAAAACAGAACTCTACAAAGGCAAAATAACATAAAAAGTGGAAATTAACAGGAAGATGGGGGAGATGTAAGGGTAGATAGATATAAAAGATGCAACAGAGCTGATTATCGCTATAGTGCCCCCAATGTGGACCAATGCCAGGCAAATGTAGTATTAGTTACTTCAATAATTAATCACCCTGGGAGCCTGTCGTTGCGGCCATGCACTGACCCATTTCTCTAACATTTTTCTTAACAGCAACACAGCCCCAAAGCCCCTCTTCTTCCACAGCTTCATTTAGTGATGCGGGGGTGCAGGTCCAAATCCTTTGGGTCAAGCCTGGTCATTTATTAGCCACGTTTCTCAGGAGAAATAAAAGTAATCTTGCTGCTCATCTCAAAGGCTGGAAACCATGCAGGGAGACAGAATAGCGACCTCGGCTGTGGCCCAGTGGGCCTTGCTGACTGTCTGTCCTGGTAAAATATGAAGCCCATATGTAGGACAGCCATCTGAAAGAGAGACCCAACAGGGCTCCTTCAGGCTTTGATGCTCATCACCACAAAAGCAGATGGCAGTATCCTGGTCTTCAAACTTTTTTTTGCCCCTCTTCTTTTATCCATTCCTATCCGCCCTATTAGCCCCCTGCCTGCCATGGTCTAGCTGCCTATAGTTAGCTCCCAGGGGGTGCCCAGAGCTATGGAATGAAGTCAAGCTTCCCCATTGACACAGGTCTCTCTGGATAGCTTTGAATAGAAGTCAAATGAGTGAAAAGGCATGTTTTAGAGGACAAAATGGAATAAGGTGTGGGGTGGATCAATACTGCAGGGTTGTTTGGACTTGAAATGCTTTGCTCTCTGTGTGCTCAAACAAAGCAGTGCTGACTGCAGGTGGCAAAGAATTTTTCCGGACATTGGATAGAAAGTAACAAAGGGTGTTTAATGGAAGAGAAACCCGCATGCATCTGTCTGAAAGACTGTGATTAAAGTGGAGAGATAACCCACTGTGCCTGCTCTGTATCCATTCCTGCACTCTGCACTAAAACAGGCAGGATTCGTCACTAAGGTCCAATTCCAACCTGTGTGCTGCTCGCACCCAAGCAATTTCTGAACCAGAAAAGCAATCAAGGACTTAAAGGCAGACACAATGCAAATAGGTCTGAAAGTCCATCTGTAGCAATCCAACTGTCCCTTCTGCACCTGTCTGTTCTCAATCTCAGCCTCTCTGTGGCACAAACCAATTAACTGTTTGATTCAGAGAGGGGGAGGCACACCCTAATTGATTACATGGTGATAGTCAGTTCAATTATCAATTTAGGCACAAAAAGCTAAGCAGTAGAGATACAAAGCCCATAAATGTGCTGAATGAGCACAATTTCTGTGTATATTTGTTTAAATGCAGGAGTGAAAGTAAAGGAGGAAGGTAGGGAGACAGAGAGACTGACACTTACTGTAGCTACTGCAGGTTGTTTACTTGCAGTCTCTTACTTACACCTCTCCTCTGCTGCTTCTTTCTCCTCAGCATAGACATTCTTCAATGCCTGAAGTGCATAAAGAAACACACACAAACAGATAGACAGAAAGGCACACACACACACACACACACACACAAACAAACACAAATATTTGCATGATTACAAACACAGAAGTCTATTATATGGACTATGTTAATATGGGATTATAAATGCACATACATCCACTATATAAACATATATAATTATAACAGAGAGAAACACAAACTTCCATTTGCACACAATCATAGGTGCAAATACATGAACACACAAATCCGCATGGGCATTCAAGGATTTGCAGCAATTGACTCACTTGGAAAAAAAAAAACTTTCTTCATCATCCCTGCGATTCTGCTTTATTTACTCTGTCATGGAGAGCTGCTCTGTTCGATCAGGCTGGAGAGGCACTAGGTCGGGTGACTGTGCTAACGAAGTCTCAATGTGCCGTCTGTCGGCAGGGTAATTTCCCAGGATAGCTCCGTGTCTCACCACTCATGGTTGTGCTGGTAAAGATAGAAGGAGATCAGCACCTGAGTCATTGGATAGAAGAAACCAAATGGGTTAAAATCTCTACTTCTATCCACTGTCCTCCCTCAATGTCTCAGCTGTTCCACTAGCCTGCACACTATCTTTCACTACCTATCACTATTAAGAGCAGTGTTTTTCATAGTTGCTGTCACACAATATGCAGAATACAGTACTGGAAAGTTAAGGTGTAGCTTCCTGTTTAACATGACACTATACCAGATGGGACAGCATGTAAAATAGAGCCTATCAATGACAAGTCACTCATGCAGCTGGTTTATAATTGAAAAATGTGGAATTAATAATCATAATGAGGGTGGTACTGGGCATTGTAGAAGCAAAAGATATGTTCCTGTTCTAGCAGGATTGTGTAGAGGCAATTCTTTTCTGAGTTTGGTGATGTTTCATTAATCAAGCTTGTGTGCAATCTTGAAATGTACATATCTGCACAATTTTGGCCATTATATAACACAAAAGATTGTTGCACAAACAAAAAAAAAACTGTTGCATAGACCACATGCAGAGAAGTTGCATAGAGCTGAAATAAATTCAGACCACATTGTTTGGCATGGAAGCTGCAATGGTGTATTTTGGATGCACACACTGATGTGCACATCAGCCAGTGCAAGGGGCATACAGTTGCCTTCACCTATACTGCCCACTGTAACATGCTGGCTGACAGAGACATCCACGTCATTACAGATCCTTGTCAGCTATTGAGGACTGTTCAGACAATGACACTTAAGTTACACTCCTTTTCCACTAACAAGGAATGGTCCAGGAACAATGTGCTGCTCTAGATGGGCAGAATGGAGACAAGGAGGTGGTAGAGAAATAATGCACATACTGCTTGGATTGATGGAGATGGTCTCTGTGTTAAATAATTTTTAAAAAGTGACTGCAGACATAGTGCGCCAAGGAGACTTTTCCATCAATCCGACAGGGTCCCCCCTAGCCCTGCATAGATTTCTAAGGAAGCTGTGTATTTATGTACAGCAGGGGTCTGCATGGACACAAGGCACTGCAAGTAGACCTACCAGATGGTTGTGTCCAGCTGCTAGTAGGAGGTCTGCAGTCTTTATCTACAGTCAGTAGGTCTTAACATCCTCCACACACACTGCCCTTCTCCAAGCCCGAGGCCCACAGGGCTAAAGTTATGAGGAAGGCAGGGTGTCCCAGTGCAGGAACAATTCCCTACTTCCCCTCAGTCTGTTTTTTTTTTTAACTAGCAAAAGAAAAGACCTCAGTGACAGCCACTGCTCAGAAACGCAGGGGACCGGATTTTCACGCTGTTCTTTGGCAAGGACTGTCTTCCCTAACTGCACACACTCATACCCAAGAATGCCTGCACACAAAATGACATACACAGAGTTTCTCCTCTGAGGGCTAAAGCTGGTCCAGAGCATCAGCAGTGTTGGAGAGACTTAGAGAGGGAGAGAAGGGAAGTCTACTAGAGAAACAGTAAGAAAGAAATATAGAGACAGACACAAAGATGCCAGAGACGCTGAGCCACAATGCATTCCTAATCGACTTGCTGCCGACTTGGAAATCCAGCATTCTCATCTAGTCTATGCAAAGTCAGTAGTGAGATGTACTGAAACAAACTGAGGGAGACAGAGGAAGGAAGGTAGGAACGGACTGGATAAGTAAATGGTGCAATGAATAAGTGTTGTTAATAGAGAGGGGTGGCAGGATCTAGATTTAGGATAGTGTGTCTGTTGCTACATAAGGTGAATTTTAGTTGTCTGCTTCAGTGTCCTCCAGAATGCCACACTGTTACCACTCAAATCTCGAGGAAGTCATTTTTCAGAGAGAATGGTGTGTGTGTGTGTCATAGTGTATGGGGGTTATCTTTTATCTTTTGACCCAGATTTGAAGGAGAACTGAACAGAGGACATGAAAGACACGGCCCTCCCAGCAGAGCAGGGGTCATGTGCAGTGTGCAGACTGAACACAGGCGCGCACTGGCACAACCAGCCAAGCAGAAAACACTATTATGCATACACACAGTCCATACAGACACACATACAGTAGGCCCACATGCTCGCAAAAGTAGGCACACCTTCAAAAATCTAAATATGATTAAGATGACCAAAAACAGGGCATCTAATATGAAAATCCAGTCAGACACACCTGCAACGGCTCACACGACAAGCCAGTACCTTCTCATCTTCATGTACATAAAACATACATGGATTACTTATGTCTAATTACTGGCTGATTACTGGCCAAACAGCCCTTCTGTGTACCAAATCTAGCACATGACTAATCACATTAACATGCAAATGCTGCACTCATCTAGACCCATGCATTTCTGTACATATTGAATATTGAAGCTCTGCATCCACGACATTTTTCCGTTATACAAGCACACACAATGACAAAACGTGAACGAGCTTAGCTGTAAGCATGGCAAAGGTGAAGGAGAAGGGTTGCAAGCTTTCCTCTCAATAGATAGAGCCTAAGGCTGTGTTCAAAATGAGGTTCAAAGGTGTGAAAAACGCAGCTGTCCCCATTCATTTCTATGTGGGACTGCGTTCACCGCAGCCAGCACTGGCACCACATGGGGCTCCGGCAAAACAATGAAGCCCTGCGCAAAGAAAAAGTTGGATCTGGCTCAACTTTCACGGCACTGGATGGTCACATCATCCGGCAAAGGTGCTGCATCGGCCAATCATGTACAGGGAACGATTGGAACGTGGATGCCTACAGGAAAAGGACTCATTTGTTTACCTTGTTAACATGAGCATTGACTGCTATTCACTGTTGAATTTTGGGCACAGCACACCATAAGGATATGCCATGCATTTTCAGTAGCACTGGATGTTAAACAATGTTTTCTCTCTATCAGTGCCGACACATGATGTCACCGTCTGGTATGGTGAAAGATAAACCAGACCCAACTTTTTGCCGCACAGGGTTGCTGGTACTGGCTGCGGTGGATGCAGTTTTCCATATGTCAGTCAAATTCAAAGGAATTGAGCAGATGTGAGGTGGGTGGCTGTGGCTCAGGAGGTAGAGCAGGTCGTTTCCTAACCGGAGGATTAACGGTTCAATTCCCGGCTTGTCCAGTCAACATGTCAAGGTGTCCTTGAGCAAGACACTGAACCTCCCGGTGATGTCACCGGTGTGTGAATTTGGGAGTGCGAATGGGTGAATGGCCGAATAATGTGAAAGCGCTTTGAGTGTGCTGTAAAAGCATAGAGAGGCGCTATACAAGTATAAGACCATTTACCAAACTCAGTCTGAACGCAGCCTTAGTGGAGAAAAGCTGCAGCTGACAACCAAGATAAAGAATAGGGTGTGTGCATTTTCTTGTGGATGCTCCAAAAATGAAAAATAGCGAATATTGAGTGCAAACATATTTAGAGTAAAATTTTAGAAGAAAAAAACAAAACAGACTTACAGAAGGAAACCTGGATGCACCCAAGACACAATATTGGGTTTCTGCCAGTGTTAAATATGGTCCCTCACCTAAGACCAGATGGCTGCTCGCTTCTGACCACCACCACACTCTCCTTCTCTCAATTTTTGTCTCTCCAACAATCTCCTAACTCTCCCTTGGGGATGGTAATAGCTAAATGCTGTCATTTCAGCAGCTCAACTTAGTGCCACAACCAATTGTGCTCTCACAAAAAAAGTCTTTACTCTAGATATGAGTGACAACCTTTGGCCAGGCTCCTACGACTACTCCTTATAACCACTGAAATCCCATAAGGTACACTTCTTGTTAGAGGTGACAAGTCAGCTTGCAGAAGAAAGCCATTACCAGAGAAGAAAGGTATCAGACAGTCTCCTGCTGGTATAAATTGAAACCAAATACAATGGCTCCAAGTCAAGAAGTATACCGGAAAATCTAATAGAGCCTTTTCCTTGCCTTGCTGGTAATTCTTGTGAAGTTTTTTTTTTCCTATTATAAGAAATGTTATTGACAAGATTTTTTTGCAGACTTTAAGAGCATGCTATGTTTTTTCCTTTTATTCAATTAATGTATAAAGTATATCAAACAGCAATGTGCTATAGAGCTCCTGACAATATTTTGACTATGTCTTATTTTCATTTTCTGACTTTCTGAAATCTCTCATCACCTACTTAGCAACTGCAGCCCTCTTCTCTGGTCTCTGTGAAGCCTGGGAGTTTGGCCACATGGCTCAGGGCTGGGCTACAATGCACACGGATGAGGGGGGTGGATGAGGACAGTAGTGGGGGCTCAGAGGCATAAAAGTTCCTTTCTTCTCCACCCTTGCCTCAAGAGCGGCAGCTTGCTCTGACATTTACTCAGGCTGGAGGAAACAGAGACGACGGAGGAAACACACAAACACACACACACACACACACACACACACACAAACACAGAGGGAGAAGCCAGGGGGTGATGTGTTAGCAACTGCCGGCTGCACAAAGTGAATGGATTAAATAATCATACCTGTAACATCAGAGGGTTGACAAACACACAGAGAATTGGCTTTCACTGCCTTTATCTAAACCTTTTATCTTCTTCTCAGTGGCCATTCATCCACAACTTCTATTCCTGGCCTCCTTTTTTATTTGTTCTCATTTAGATCTTGCCAGTGAGTCAGTTAAGCCAACACATATTTCCATCGTGATCAAGATCACTGCCAAACACATGCACACAACCAATGCACAGACATGGGCACAAGCAAACAGACAGTTCAGACACACAAATCTACACACAAACACACAAAATTATGGCCATCCTACTGAGAAGCCAACAATGCCAGCAAGTCCTGTAGTCAAAAATGGGAAACTTGGCCAGAGATGACAGTGAACACAGCTATACACCATTTGTTTCACAAGAAAAGTTGACCCAGTGAAATAGCTGATTGCTTTGTATTGCTTATCTTGTGGTATACTGTATGTATTCTTGGCTACTTGTACAGCCATGTCATTATGTACAGGTGTGGCGTTCCTGGGTGTGTTGGCTTTGGGTCTTGAATCCACCAACCGGTCAACAAATAAGATCTCCATGGTAAAAAAGCCAGTGGTGCTTGAAAAGCCACAGCAAATCAAAAACACATCTTTTCTTTTATCAAAAGCTGTTCAAATACTGTCCCCTCCACCCCAACAATTAAAAGAGATGTCAGGAAATGCAAGCAGAGAAACTATAGAACTAAGAGAGGTTTGAATGAGATATAACAGATAAGCTAGCATAATGTCACATTTACTGTAAAAATCTTGTTTTTTATTCTTATAGATCAGTTAGTATAAACACCATAAGAGCCAAAGAAAGAAGAGGAAAAGCATCAAAATATGCCACAATTCAAGGCATGCCACATTTGGAACGCTGATAGAACTGGCAGCATTTTATCAGACAGATCCATGTGAACCACTTCAGGAATACTATCCTAATGCACACTTTTCTCTGTGAAATGGAAATACTCATGGCTCTCCGTCTGCTGTGAATGAGCTTTGTATTCCCCAAGACTGACACTCCAGCGGAAATGTTCACTTTAACCTCCTTCTCATTCTTCAGAATCTAAATAAAGGCGACGTCAATGGGAATATCCTTTGTTACCGTTACCCACATAAACACAGAAGCAGAGAGACACTGCAGCTCTCGACATGACAACAATCTTTTCCTCTTCCATCCACACTTCCTGTAGATCTCCCCAGTACAGTGCAATTGTTGGCAATCAGTCTGCGGTGCTCAAAGCATGAAGGAAAATTAAAATTCTCACCAGTAACATCTCTTTAAAAAATGCCACACCTATGACAATGCAGAGACCCCACTGTGAACAGCTGGAGAGCTACTCTCTACCAGCTGGTAATCTCCATGCAGTAGAACATCAACTGTCAATAACATGGTCTGTGGATTATTTTGAGCAACAGGGTCACTGTATTCGCAAAGACAATTTGGCTTGTAGCAAAATGCCAAAAGTTGCATTTTAAAAATAAAGCATCAAACATTTTGAGATGGAAGTCCCACGTACCTATCTGGATGTGTCATTAATGATTTTTTTCATTATTTTAGAAAGAAATTAAGAAAATATATACAGCAATGTTCCTTGATATGCTATATTAGGCCTTTTCCTCTAACTACTGAATACAATACATGAATAAATACTGGTCTTGCATTTTGCTCTGCTTTGCTCAGTGACTGAGCTCAAAGCTGCTAAGAGCTTCTGACTGGAAGCTGATTCCCAGTGGGCCCTGTAGCTGGAAACAAAATCAGCAGCAATATCCAAAATACTGATTAAATGTAGCTTAAGCTGAAATCTTCAAGTGGTCACCCTATATGGCAGCAAGAGGTACAAAGGGATTCGGAGTACAATAAAATGGCAAAGCATCATAAGTTTGATGTCTTGTTCACCACACTTTAGCAGACCTGCATGAATGATGCAGTTGGTGAAATTTACTTATCCCTTCACACTTTATAAAAATGATTTAAAAGGCCTATATGCAGACTAGAACTGTATTACAGGAGTCATTACTTATGTGATCTTCCATGATGAATTGATGGGTGAATATTTTAGTTCACTAAACTTGACTGCCATAACTATCCAAATGTAGTATTTATGTAGCTTGTCATTTATATGAGCAGCTAACTTCAGGTTTTATTGCTAGAAATAATACATATTTATACTACTAATATATTAACTTTCCTAAACCTCATAATCATATTTTCCTGGTTCTTGCAATGAGCTTCTGAAATCAAAAAGCAATTCCCCTGTAGTAGCTTGGACCCCTTAACCCCTGACAAAACACAGTGATATTTTCCCTCAACTCCTCGCCATTCAAAATAGGTACCCAGTGCATCTTAAATAAAGAATAATAATTTTCGGTCCCTACAGGCACAGCTTATTGCGTTGCGATTGACATGACTTTACAGTTTCTCCGTTTCCACAGAACGGTAAAACGGCGCCCCCTTGGGTTGCAGCCGCAAACGCCAGCCACCGTGTGTGGCCACAGCCGGTACTGCACCCTGCTGTCAACCCAGAGGAAGGAGGACAGGCTGGCAACTCATTCAAATACCACTTGTTAAGTGTCAAATAGTTCGGCGTTGTCACTTGTCCTAACACTGTGAAAAGGGCAGCTGGAAAAACAAAACAGAACCGTGAAGCCAGTCACACTGTTGCCTCACAAACAACAACGTTAACAATGGCCTATTTAAATAAACAACCGGGAAAATTTGTTTGTTTTCCAGTGCTGCTCTCTACGTTTTCAAGGCCGGACAGATAAGGAAACGAGTTGTCATCCCATTAACCCAAGTAAACATCCCAGTAACGAGTGCATTTGTACCGACATGGACAGCCGAACCCCATGCAGATATAAAATAAAATAAAATAAAATTAAATAGGCATTAAGATACACAGTCACTCACTTTAAAGTGCTTGAGAGTTGACTTGGAGAAGTACTTGTCGACTGAAAAGCCGCTGATAACGTTGTTTTCATTGTAATAACGCCGAATACCTCCCATACATCCGACATTCGATATAGGTATTATCACTTTAAAGTTATTTATTTTGAATTACTGACGCCAGGTCTACACTGACACGTGAGTGACGTCCTATTGGCCGGTGGTGAGTGGAGGTGTCAAAGGTTGTGCCATAAGAATACATGTAGACTACCGGTTATTTAGCCTCGTTACAATTATGCAGGGTTGGATGTTTAAAAAGACCTGTTGACTCTGTCAATGAACCTGGGCAGAAGGTGGCTTGTAACAATTCCTTCACTCTTATGTTTGTAAAATGCTATGCAATCTGTAGGCTGTGTAGGTATTAGTATGTCAGGCATTTAACCTACGTACATAAGGGTGTGTAATGTATGCATTTCATACACATGCTTCTTTTGAATGTGACCATAAATTGCTCAAACAATGCTGATAAAAGTACACATTTTCCTACTTCATAGCTTCTTACAGTAGATGACTTTTGAATCATGAAAATTAGTGCTTAGTTTCAGAGTTAATTTAATTGGCTCCTATAAAAGAACAGCTAGCCCCAATCTGTAGCCTGTAGTTTAATTGGGCCCATACTACCACTGAAAATAAGTCAGGTATTTCAGCTTTAAATAAAAAGGCTACATGTGCATTTGGGGCTTTTAATGTTTTTACAACGCATCCATTTCTTATGTATTTTTCTTATATATTTGTCAATTTTGTAACAAAAAGTAGATTACATGGCTGGCATGTCATGTTTTATTGTGCCTCAACAATGTATTACACAAAATTACACATAAACTAAACTTATAGTAAGTACATTTTGAAGTTTCCTGGCACATTTAAAATGTAAGAAAAAAGCAATACACATCAAGACCATTCTCATTAAACCCCCCACAGTTATACCACAACAAGGATCTGTCGAAAATACAGATATAAATTTAGATACGAGGTACTTCTTTCTCTTTTATCCAGATGCTCCTCTTTTCACTTGTACCCTCCCTGTGATGAACACATGCTGACATGGTCATAGCTTCATTTGTGCACGCTTTGTCTCATCAGTACATGTGGTCAGTCCCGCGGTGATATGAGGATAAGGACAGAGCAAACGATGCTTTGTAGCAGATTTATCCTTCTTTTTTGTCTGATTTTATCACTTGCCAAAGGCATTCTGCTACAAACCAATGGGGGTCTGGAACTTGTTCCTCTCTACCACGTGTCCTATCTACCCCTCAGTCTCAGGGGGTCAGTCATTCTGCCAAGGCTGAACTCAGGGGGCTACCGACAGCAGGAGTGAGATGAGCCTAGAGGGGATCTTCTCACCCTGAGACGAGTGATTACTTCGCTGGGACTAAGTTATGCTAATGCATTCATCTCCAAAAGCACCATGATTATTTAGAGTTCCTCACCAACTGTTTTAGATTTTGCTCACTTGCTATTTTATGCAAAGATGCTTTTTTTTCCCCTAGCGTTCCATTGGCACAGAGCTTGCTGAGCTGAGGGAGATGAGAGGGGAGAAAATTCAGAAGATTGTTGAATTTTTTGCCCTTATTTTAATGCGCCCTTGATGTGTGAGTGAATGCATATCAAAATATGTCTAGTTTTTTCTCCTGAAAATATTGCATGTTGCAAATTTACAAAATGACAATAGTGGAAAGAGCAGATCATATTGCATACAGTATATAATTTCCACTATTTCTCTAGCCCTCTACACTGCCCTATGTTTTATGTAAAAGGTTCCAGCACTGTCACTTTCATCCATCCAAACTTGGTTTATTTTCTTCCTTCTGCTGAATCAGTGCTGAATCTCCCTCTAGTCCCATTTGGCCAG